GCCAGTATGGAGCGGAAGATATCTAGATCTGCACCTGCATCTGGTAAGTAAAACCAAACAAGAAGACGTGCATATAGCCGCGGACATAGCCGCTTGCGATGGAAAGAGATAAAATCGTCACATTCAGTCCCACCGTGTGTCTCGGTAAAAAAAGAGAGGCGGCTTCGATATGAAAATGACACTCTTCATCCACGCCATGAGTGTAAGCTCCTTTACGTCGGTCATTTCTGGCTAAAAGCCGTACATTCAATAGCGATATGCATCTCAAGCAATTCGTACATGAGACGATGTTCTTACTCATGGGCATACGAGCATTATGCTGCGAGTGGAAAGACTTCTCTTTCCATTCATAGGCATATTCAAAAGTGATGAATGCGGCTTGCCGGTGTCGCTTAAGTTTCGAAGCATTTTTCAGATCCCACATACCTCGAGTAAAAGACGGTTTTATAGATATGTTTACTTCGTCCGAGACATGTCTCGCTTGTGATGCTCGCTTCCTTAATCGTTTTGGGCTGTGGGCGTCAGATATCTTTGAGGGGAACGCTCCCGTCTTCTCCGCCGTCAGGAAGGAATGCGATCTCGTGAAGTACGCTCACATTGGTATATTTTCTGAATACAAGTGATAGATACCCAGTCGATAGTATTAGCCTATAACAAGTCTCTCGAGCAGTCGGCAGCTTATTGAAATATATTAGCTTGCCTCCGTGGACCGCGACCTTGTTGCAAAGGAGACAATTCCTATCACCTTCTTGATTGCGGCTACTAGTTCAGGCCAGTTGAACAACCATCTCTTCGTCTCGTACTATCGTTAGACACCAGGTGAATGAGACTCAAATGATATCAAATAATCCAGTCCATGCTCAGGCGGTCAGGCACGATGACGTGCTTTTCATACGCAATTAGCATACAGCCGAGTAACGGTAGAAGCTATAGTCCGGATTTTTGCTGCCTTGCAGGTACGACATCTTTATATATTAAGTTATGGAGTCATCCCCTTGGTGTTCGAAATAATGTGGCCATGCATGACACACTCTGGCTCATCAATGACCTTACGAATCTCCTCCGCAAGCTTCAACTTAGGCTTTGTCTGTATGTAGTAGAATCACATCATCGAAAATGCATCAGCACCAACTTTTTGGTACCCTCGATGTAGTGCATCGAGAGGCGGTACTATGCAAGGAGATGCTTCCAGCGCTTGACTCGCAGGGTAATTTCGATCGGATATATAAGGGTTTTCATAATCGGTGTGAGCAATCACAGGAAAATCGAGCAGATTGGTGTGGTATTTGCGCAGCATTTCCACAATCGATAGAAGCACGAATTACATTGTAAAATACTTCAATTGATGCTTGTAGAGACCTCAAAGTAGCACGCAAAGATTTGATTTCTTCGCATGATGGTTTCGCCGATCTGCTTGCCGCTGGGTATAGTATAAACGTGAAAGAATACATATAAGTCTGGGAACGCGAGAATGTCCGAATGCGCAAATGCTTTCTGAACAGCTTAAAAGGTTTTTTGTCATAAACAGATACTATAAAGGGAACTAAAGCTGATAAAGCGGTGAAGTGGTTAACATTATACCGTCTTGTTAGGCATTATATCGTTGCAGAAATTAACCGTCCCCAGGAAGCAACGTATATTCTTCCTGGTCTTTTGTTCGGCAATCTGATAAAAAGCTTAAATCGCTATCTGCTGGGTGGGACTGATCCCCTCGGACGTTAGTGTGAAGACAAGATGGTCGACAACTAGCGTAGTATGTGGCATTTCTTTTTATCGTACTTATCCAGGCGCTTTAAACCGATATCCAGGTGCTTGAAATGTGTCTTATCGATATTGGAGTAAACGAAAATATCGTCCAAAGATACAACGACAAAATTAGGGTCACCAAATGTCTTGTCCATGCACCCTTGATAATCATCTGGCGCCGAAGAAATTACTATTAGAGCCGCTTCTACTGATACTCCCCGATTGTAAGACATAAAGCCGTATAAATACGGCTTCATTTAGCGAGACGACGCAAGTAGTACCCCATGAAGCAATTAAAGCAGAGAAACACTTGGCTCTGGCGATACGCAATAGGTCTTTCGAATACATGGAACATAGTTTGGGTTCCCTGAAATATACTACTTTGAGTCCACGAAAGTCGATCAGGAAACGAAGTGAACCGTTAGGGTTCTACACAAATAATGCTGACACTCATTAAAGAATCACATATTTTCTCCAGCACGTCGATGCCATTTCCCAATCCTAAATTTTCTTAAGAACGCTGATGCTGATAAGATGTTGAATCATCCCCACGCGCCTTTCCTTTTAAGGCTACGTGTGATTGGATCGAGTTTGGAGTGAACGGGCCTTATATTTTGGCGAAATGGGCAAAACGTAATTTTTAATCTCGTCCTTCCCAAGTGCCAATCGTACAAGCTCTCATCTCTACGGAGAAGCTGTAGGTACTTGTTGACGAGAGAGTTGGGTATCATGTCGACCGGATTTTATTCTGGCCGAACTGCCGTTTCATAGATCTTTTTTGCTTTCTGTGAATAAATTCATGGTCGATCATCGCGAAAGATATTGGCTCACTGGTATTGAGGTGCGCGAAGTGACCATATCACTGGACCACTTTAAATATAATTAAGCATCATTACCAAAAAAGTCATAATTTTACGGCTCTTCACCATAGCATCTTAGCTCTTTTATAAAATTTCGACCCTGTAATGGATTACGACTGAAGGCATTAGAGATACAAATCGGAACTGAATGATCATATTGACACAACTAGAGAGCTCGACGTTTACCGTCTGAAAGTTGGTCATCGAAGCGACTTAATTACGCCAAAGATGAAAATTGTCCTGCATAGTCTTCTGGATGATAATGCTTCACAACATACCGCTGTCTAGTGGCGTATTTAAGGTGTCGGTCGCATTCTTAACTGCTTCGTTATTCGTAACGGAGCGAGGTTGGTGCTGGTTTGCTTCTTGGCGACCGGTTGTACTAGCTCAAACCAGCTGCCGATTGACTCTTCTTCATATCTAAAATACTTCTTTTGCTCGGGGCGGGTGTCTTTGTCTCGGCAGGCATGTGGTCCTTGTGCTGCTTCTTACGAGCGAAGCAATCGCTCGAGTTATGAGAGCTAGTCTTGCGGAACGTAAACCGTTTAACATTATCTTGGTGGCGCTCGTTTTACTTTTTGTCGTTTGGATATCTACGTCGGTGATGACGCTACTCATTTGAGGCACGATGGTCGCGCTGGTTTCGTCGATCTCGGTGGTCATTGAACAGGTGTGCTGGTCGCACCGACCTTGACTCAATTTACCTTCCCTTCCTTTTATATCCCGGCCTTCACGGTTATTCTGTTTTCTCACCTTTCGAGGCGCTTGACGTACATCGCAAGTTTGGTTATTTCTTCGTAGGAGGTGATACTAAACGAGAGCTTGTCTTACCAGTTTGGAAGCATGGCTCGGCGTAAGTACCGACATAGCCAAGACTTTGAGATGGTTGGTGCATCCTGGGGGCAACTTGGCGTACATATGTGCAAGTCTCGCAAACTGCCGAGTAGCGTAGCACCTGTTTGTCGCGGCGCGTGGGTAGGGTCCATAGCTCCTCGCCCAGGTCCACACTGTAGTCCTATGGAACTAGGAGTAAGCCGAATTCACGGTGGAACGCTACAAATGTGAGTCCCATATGGAATATTTGCTGGCGATGCGCTCTACCTCGCGCAACGGATGACTATCGATCAGCGTGAGCAGTTGAACGGTTAGTTGGTCAACACTCCAGGCTTTTAATTTCACGAGGCTCTACCGCATGCTCCATGTGACCAGTCCTTCGTGGATCCACAGCAAAAGCGCTTGATCTTTATCTTGGCGCGGTCAGCTTGCGTGGTCGCACTTTTTTGGCACGTTACGATCGTGTACGTGGCGTACTCATGTTCGTTGTTCCGTCCCATGTTGGAGGTGACTGGTTTATCGATTGGGTTTTACTTGTAATTGGTTGGCCAAATTATATGCCTATATAGGTTAGACCCGGCTTGTGGCTGGCAGTGGAGCTTGAGTCGTAGAGAGTAAATTCAGGATATCTTGTAGTTGAAGGGGCATTCGGCAGTCTAAACTGGTTCTATACATGTAACTCTAGTATGCTGCAATTGTCTTGGCCTTCATCGTATGTTCTTAGAGGCCACCCACAATTTATCCACGAGACCGACCACCGATGTCACCTTATTGAGTCCGCGGATTCCAACGGCTTCATGGCTTCCTCCACCAAGCGCTGACCGAGACTGTCGCTCTTGGAGAAACTCCTGTCGCATGAGCGGGCACGAGAAAAGAAGACACACACAGGCAACAGGTTACAACACATCGTTTTCATAGTATCTACACAATCGCTTGGTGGTCGTCGGTCACCAATCGACTGTCGGCCTCACTTTTTCTCGAGACGCACAGTCTGCGCGAGCCACTCGGCCTTCGTCTTCTTGGTCGCCTTCACTAGCTCCATCGGTGTCGGCCGTAGCAGTAGAGAGAGAGGTAGTTGATGCACGCGCGTCGTAGCGTGTGTCAGCACCGAGCGTCGAAACGATCGAGCGGTCTCGTTGTTTACACCGCGTAACACGTTCCCGCTCTTGTTCCCTCACTCGTCCAGCCACTCACTCGACCAGCCAGTCGTCACGTCGGTCGGTCTGTCGGTGGTCTGTCGGCCAGTCGTCGACTCGTTTTCAGCCGCCCTCCGCTTCACACGAACGAACGTCCTCGTGTTCCTCCACGTCCTTCAGGTCCCTTTTATCTCGAAGATGACAACACCCCCCCCCCCCCCTCTTCTCTCCCCCCCCCCCCCCCCCCCCCCCCAGTCGCCCTGTCGTCCATCCATCTCATCTTCCAAAGCCGCAATGGACTCCACTGCGTGTCCCTCTTCAGTCTCGCCCGACAAAGCTCGAGCCGCTCCTCGCTCCCTCCCGTCCCAGCGGCTCAATATGTCCGAGCGGTCGTCCAGACGTCGGTCGCTATCCACGCAACCACTTACGTGCAGCCACCGATTGACTCTGCGCGGCTCCGCGGTCGCTTCAGCACCGGGTGTTGCCAGATCTCGGCCATCGTAATGCGCTCGTCCGGGTCCACGCACAGCATCCGCTCGAGCAGATTCTGCATGCCCTCCGACACGTCCCTCTCGAGCCCCCACGCCGCGAACACGGCCTTGACGCCGCACTTTGCGACGTACCGGAACCCCGCGTCCGACGGGTCGGCGCGCTCGAACGGCGGCGACGACGTGAGCAGAATGAAGAACGCGATGCCCGTGGCCCAAATGTCGGCGCGCCGGGGGTCGTAGGCCTCGCGGGCCACGATCTCGGGCGCCATGTAGTAGTCTTTGCCCACGGCCGCGTCACAGCAAAGCGCGTCGGCGGGACGACGGCGGCCCAGAGATGACAGGGGCGACGACGAGAGGTCCGACAGCTCGGGCACACACAGCCCAAAGTCGGCGATCACTGCGCTCCCGTTGCGCAGCAGAATGTTCTCGAGACTGACGTCCCGGTGGGCGATGCCGTGCGCGTGGAGGAACCGCAGCCCCGAGAGCACATCGACGAGGAACGCGTGCGCGACCGCCTCCTGCAGACGCGTCGAGCCGTCTACGCCGCTCAGAAACGGTCCGTTGCCGTCGTCGTGCACATCGTCTTCGGGACGCGGTCCGCCACTACCCACTGCTGCTGTCGCTCTTGCGCCGCCGCCGCCGGCAACGACAACGTCTTCGCCTCGCGGACGACCACATCTGTCGTCACTACAACTACGACGACCGCTACTGCTATTGACACGACTGCTACTGCTATTGACACGACTGCTATTGACACGACGGGTGCGGCTGCGGCTGCTCAGCCCTTCGTTACGGTCGACTCGCGGCCGGCGACGCTGGACACAGGCGTCGAGCAGGTCGCCGCCCTCGCAGTAGTCGAGCACGAGGTGCAACGCGCCCCGGGCCACAAAGCACTTGTGCAGCCGAATGACGTTCGGGTGGCCGCCCAGCGCCCGCACGCGGCTGAGCCCCTCGACCTCGAGCTGCACGTCCTCCTGCACGAGCTCCTGCGCGCGCGACGTGTGCCGGCTGGCCAGCTGCAGGTCGACGGTCTTGACGACCACGCGCTCGAGCGTGAGGCGGTCGCGGCACAGGAGGATCTCGCCGAAGAGGGCCGCGCGGAGCGACGTCTCGGGCTCGTAGCGGTCCGCGACCGCTTTGCTGGAGCTGTGGCTACTACTGCCGCCGCTCTGCGAGCTCGAGGGCCGACTTGGCATGGGGCAAAAGGACGAGCAGAGCGAGCGAGAGAGAGAGAGATGCGATGCGATGGGGGCAGAGCGGAAGGGGACCGGTCGAGTGGAGACCGTCGAGGCGATTGCAGGACAGCGACCGCAGCAGCAAAGACGAGAGAGCGACTGACCGATGGACGGACGGACCGTGTGGATCGTCCGACTGATCGTAGCACGGGGCCAAACACAGCGTCGATGGCAGCCAAAGGACACACGCACGTACGTACGCACGTGCGATGAGCTGCAGCTAACAAGCAGACAGACCAGCAGACCGACCGACCGACCGACTGAACGACAGACTGATCGACACGGAGACTGACCAAGTGACTACTTGACCGACCGATACCCGGGAGGGAGAAGGCCGAGATGCACTTGAAGAGTGAGGCGATCAGCTGGTGACGAGTGGGTGAGAGGGTCGAAGCGACGTGACTTTGACTCGAAGTCGGGGTCTGCTCCGAGAGAGTGCACGTCAAAGTCAGCCGCTCGTCGTCAGCCGTTTGTCGCGTGTTGCGTCGGCGGCTCCAAAGCAAATGGAAAACGTGCCGACACTCGACACTCGCTGCTCTTCGGCCGCTCTCCGCTCCTTTCACGTCTCGTGGTGGCTGCTGCCTCGTTCTTGTCTCGACGTCGGCTGCAGGTCTTCCGGCCGTTTCACCACCTGACGCTTTGACGCCGTTTTTTCGGGGATACGTCTCAGTCAAACGACACGTTTCGATGCTCGGCACTTTCAGTTGCAGTTGGCGCTCGCGTGCTCTGGAAGGGCTCTCCCGCGTGCATCGATCGGACAAAAGCCGTTGTTTGCATCACGTCGTTGCTCCCGCTCCTCGCTCCCTCACTTGCCCCGCAAGCCACTTCATGTGACTATTAGGCACCGCGTGCGCTGCTCTTCAGCGTTTTTTTTCCTTCTTTTTCAGCCGAGAGATATCGCAAGACGCTTTGTGCCTACTCACTCACTGAACCGCCGCCGTCGTCGTCGTCGTCGTGGCCTCGCACTCGAATCTTGCAAGACGCAGGACACGGGACGCATGCGAACGAACGATGAGTCAGTCGGTGCCGGCGGAAAGGAACGCTCGAAAGCGAAAGCCTCGAGCTGCACCCGACAATGAACGCGTCCGCGCCACTTCAATGAGTCTATTTGTTGCATGGCCAGAGCATCGCAGCCGTTCAGAAGGATCGTTTCGGACTGATCGCCTGAAGCGCACAAGTCGAGTGGACGGTCACCGTCGCCCCCGGCAGCACTGAGCTTACGACGTGGGCAAGTAGAGCGTCAGCGACAAGTTGGACTGCACACGACAGCAGTCAAACTTGTCGCTTGCAAAAGAGCGATGCGTGTGACACGCCGCATAGAGTCGCGGGCTGCCGAGAAGCTGTCGACATTATTGGCGTTGAGGACGTCGTGGAAGAGTGTGCAGCCGATCCCCCGTGCGCGGATCAAACGAGTACGCATGACAGGGTCGAAGCTTTGCGGACGCGAGGATATGTCCGGCTCGAATGTCGAATCCAAGCCGTAAGACAGGATTCGAGGGAGCGATCTGGCTCAGCGTTGGACACGCTGTTGAACAGAGAGGCAGGCAGAGGGGCAGAGTTCGAACTCTGCGTACGAGGAACGCGCCGTAACGACTATGACGTTTCAGACGACAAAAGACGTTCATTGAGACTTTGGGCGTTGCGGTGTGAGCGATTGAGACGCGTCGGTCGAGACTTGTTCAGGTTCTCGTTTGATTGAGCAATTGCAAACCAAAGCGCAGTTGGCCACATCGGCGCTCCATTGAGGCTGGAAGAAAAGCCAGGAATCGGAATCTCTATTTCGGATATCTCACAATCTGCTCACGTTGTCTTACACTCCGGTCCTTGGCAAGGAAGCAGGTCCCGAGGCTTGTGCACTCTCTGTTTCTGGACGAAACAGCGAGACTTTGGTGGTCGAGAGCTCGATGCGCTTCGTGCAAGAAACGAACGATGAAGTCGCTCGTTGATCGATGTCAGAGCACTAATGTAGCGGTCACGTCGAACCATCGATGGCTGTAAGAGCTGGAACGATCCCTACTGCGAAAGCGGATGGAGTGGTACAACGAGCTGCTTTCGTTGAGCTTTTACATCTTTCGTATAGCTTCATGATCGGCTGTTGATGCAGACACGACCCGCGTACAATCCGCTTCGCTTTCGTTTCATTAGTCATGTTCCGCTTTGTGGTGGCAGGATAGTGAGAATCGTTGGTGTTGGGTAAATGCGTCATTGCTGATGCGAGTCTATTCGACGACTTGCCAAGAAGCGATAGCTTAGCTGGCAACTATCCGATTAGCATTTAGATCGCAATGCGACTGCGGCAGGCCAGCTCACGGCACACAAATAAGCGCAAATACAAACCTTCCCAAATTATCGTGGGATAATATATTTGCAGAGACCAAGTTGCAATGCTCCTATTTCTAACACAATCTTCACAATATTATTTAATTGCGGTAAATAAGCATAAAATAACAACATTGTGCTTACCTATCTATGCCGTCCATTCTGTCACGCATACTTAGAGAACGACTGCTTGCAGAAATTGTCAAGCTATCTGGTATAGGAACATTCGTTGCTCGATCTGGTTTAATTCACACCATCCAGGTCTTCACTCCGATGAGTTTAACCGCGACAAGTGATGATACATGTACATTATAGAATTGCGCGTCCATCAAGCTCGTCTAATGGCCGCTAAGGTGTAACATTCATATTGTTAGTTTGGCAGCAACGTACCGGGGTGATCCTGCTACTCGTCATAGGCACAACTTGTAAAAAAAATCACAAGAAAACGCGACTAGACGGGCTTATTCGGTGGTAAGTGGGATCTCTTGATATAAAGTTTTAATAATGTATATTGACCACTTATCGATTAAGAAGTTCTTATCAATGGGGCATTTCTGTGCAAAATTAATAGTGTTACATTTCTTCCCTTCCAAGCAAATCTTGCTGATGTTTTCACTTCGTCTAAAGGGACACGTACGTGATGATTTACAAAAACACCTTTGTAATTTCAGATGCAAGGGTATAATGGTTATCTGGTAAGAAGTGTGCGTTGTTTAAAGCAAGGTGAATACAACTACACTCACCCTCTCTATAAGAGACAACTTTGTGCCCATTTTACAGCGTGTCTGATAAAAAGTCTCTTGTAAAGAATCTGAAAGGAAGAAGTTGCATTGTATTTTTTGAGCGTGACCGGCCGATTATAACGAATGTAGCTTTTTTCTACTATATGAAGTCTCTCATGTCGAGCTATTTCGCCCTAGCCTGCCGGTTCTTGCGAATTAACCGACGATGTCCTATCCAGATCTGATTGTGTGATTTGCGTGTCCTCATCTGGGCGTATGAAGTGCGAACGCAAAAGCAGGCAGCACTTTAGCGCTTCTTTTGCACTGTCTGGCGCTTGATCTTCGTCGCTTTCGACTTTCGCGGGCTCCACTTCTGCTTCAATCAGAGCTTCTTGTTCTTCGTGAATCTGCTTGTGGTGCCCGATTTCGACGTTATCATCCACGCTAACGGTTACACCAAGCTCTTGAAACATGATAAGCCAGATTGCAGCAGGTTTTGTTGGAAAGCGAGGCTGATGTGATAGTCGTTTTGTGCACGCCAATCCGCAGCCTGTGGCGCTTTGATGATCCCACTCTTGATCCAGCAACTTCGAATGATCTCCCGCCAATACTGTTCCAGCTCTCAGCTGCAAACACAATGGCTTCTAGAACATTGAGTCTGCGTTCCATGTTTGCTTGGATCAGATTCGCGCGCCATTGCATATGAAGTTTCCTGTATCGAGCTTTAAACGATCGGATGATGCCGCCTATATAACATATATGTAGGTGAGGAGATTGAATGGAGATTTAAGACGCACATATATCAATGTATGAGATTAATGCGTACCGGCATCGAGAGGCTGGGTAGTGGAAGTCATGATAGGCTTGAACAATATCACATTGAGGTTGTTGAGTTCTCGTTGTACCTTGTGACTGGAAGCATTATCGAGAAGAAGCAGGACTTTGCGACCATGCATTCGAAGATTAAATTGATGCAGCCACTTATCAAAGGATAATTACAGTCATCCCGGAGTTCGAGCTCGCAGCGTACACGATGCCACGCTTCTCGATCTCCACACCCTTAATGCACCTTTGGATTTTTAGGCTTCCCGATGATCATGGGCTCCAAATTTTCAGATTCACTTGCGTTGCAGCACAGAGCAACTATATCGCGTGGCTTTACGCTCTTTTTGCCGTTGTTTCGAACCGTGAATGGGGCTTTGTTGAGGTGGCAAGTCGTAAAATAATGGTGTCTCATCAAAATTTAACACATCGATCAAAGAATATTGTTCAATCAGAGATCGGATCGGAGACTTTGCTGCTCGTACATCCTCGATACATAATCTCCCGCTCTCGCCTGTCAACGCGCGGCTTTTGCTATTGTTCCGCTCCTTGAAACTATGGAGCCAGCCTTCGGAAAGCTTGAGATCGTGTTCTTCGATATCATGGCTCACGCGCAGTCGGTCTGCTTTCGATAGGACCAGATCTTCCGATAATCCGTCACTCTCGCGCTTGAGAACGAATTTCAGCAGCTTCTTCTCGAACTGAAGATGCTTTTCACGTCATTTTCTATTTTACATTAAGGTTAAAGTCCTCAAAGTCGATTTCGTTCATGGCCATGAGCCGATGCCCCGCTAACTTACTTAATTTTGTGCTGGAACTGAACGTTCACTTAGGTCTGCACTTCGCAAAAGCGGGTGTTTGGGCGTTCTTTGCTGTGTTGAAAGACCTCGTACTCCTGCTCTAGAGAGAGGGTTACTAGCTTTGTTAAACTTATTGGTTGCACGGGCTTGATGTTCTTGGGTGGACGTGTTGTATCAAGTGGTGTAGTCGAGTATTTACGAATATAGAATTTTATTTCTCCGTATCTATTGCCTTACGAAGTTATAAAATGTCGTCTTCTGTATTAGTCGTCATGACGTCTTCAGTAATATGGGCCTC